TACCAACAACGGAACCTGTCGGTGAACTGCAACCGACGATGAAATTAGTAGGGAAACAGCCATGGATGGCAAACCAAAGCAGCGAACGTGGCTACCACCCTACAAGAAAAGAATGAAGAGTTCACCCCATGTACCAAAATCCATGCACAATAGAAGCAAAGAAAAGAACAAAGAGCAAAGAAGAAAGACATTTGAGAGGGAAAAACGACGGGGGATGGAAGAAGGGCGAAACAATGGACCGAGGGCAGAGGAAAAGAAAAGGGAGATGGGGGATTCCCCAAGGGGAGCCACCCCAGTGGACCGGTTTAGTAGTTATCAGTAAACCGGTTTCGGTTTAAATGCACCAAACCGGGTTTGAATCAAAATGAACCGGTTTAAAATATATTACACTGCTAAACCGGGCCAAGCCGCTATTTAGTGGATATGGATTTTATGAAAAACAATGAAGATGCATGAAGGTTTTAATTTTGACTTGTATTTTAATGATTTAATTTAAAAATAAATATACACATATGTGTGATAAAGAAGAGGATGAGGAGGCATGTGTGATGGTGAAAAGACCTCTCACCTCTCCTCTTTCCTCTTTCTATTATATATTATTATATATTAGATGTTTGTAGCATCTCCCATCCTCCCATTGAATCCTTTATTTCCAAATAATTATCTTTGAAACTCTTTTCATCCACTTTAATAAAGCATGGTTTATGAGTATAAATTAGATGGGTTGAATGGGGTTAAGAGCCAACCATAGACCAACTTTGGACATGGACCGTGGCATGAAATCAAATTGATGTCAAAACTTAAATTTGCCAATCCAAACCTAACGAGATTTCTATTCAATCCATGCATTTGCATGTATTTTCTTGCTAATATATTAGTAAATTTGACATTGAGCATTTGTTAACATGTGAAAGGCCAAGGGGCGTAGTCCTAGACTCCTTGTTCCCTAGTCATAATTTCATGTCTCACCTAAATTAGTGGTTTTTATTAATTCCTCCACCTCATAAAATCAGAAGAACCAACAAAAATTTATAAAGGGGTCAAACCATAAAATTACCTAAAGTTACTTTTATGATATAAAATTTCAAATTATTCATAAATTGAAATTAATAAACCCATAACTTGATGGGAGACCAAATGGAACATGATGGATACGATAACTCAATTATGAATTTTGACAAACCAAATTTGGATGTGGGTATATTTTTTATTCAATTTAATGGATGCAACTAGGAGTGACAAAATGTATGGATTGGATCGGGTTAAATGCAAATTGAAGACCAATCCATCCACCAGTCACCATGACGGCACCCATTCATAGAATCGTAGCCCATTTGTCTAGCATATATATACATGGATTGCAACTCAACCTAATCCACACATTTTGACCCGATTTGACTTTTTTTGGTAAGTGATCCAATTTGAATGTGTAAATCTATATAAAAAGATTTTATTGAGAAAAAAAAAAGAATTTGGGGTCCATTTGTTGGAATCAGAATTGCCATTGCTCATTTAATTTAGGCAGGAATCGGAATCAAGGTTCAAAAATATTGATATACCCAATATGTTGGTAGGGGCGTATTGGGCGATATCAATATTGTTTTTTTTACCTTTTTTTATATTTTTTTCAAAAACTAGTTCAGGGGGCCAGTTTAAGGCTCTTTCACCCCATGAACCGTTCAGAACCCTGATACACCCACTATAGGGGTGTATTGGGGAGGTCCCGGAATGATATGTATCGGCCGATACGTGTTGATACTTTGAACCTTGATCGGAATTAGATTCCATAAGATATATACACAACTCCTAAAAAGGGTTGGCATCATATAAAGAGAAATAGGGTTTGAAAGTTTTCAAGTTATCTCTTTTGTTCCTTTTTTTTTTTGCCAGATGAGATTCCCATTCCCAAGTAGTGAGGCCGGAATGGCTATTCCCTCAAATGGGGGAATGCCATTCCACCAAGAATGGGAAATGGAATCTCATTCCGCCCAACTAAATGGCTGGAACCGGAATGGTCGATTCTAATTCCAATTCCAAACCCCTATTTCCTCAAATCAAACAGGCCCTTAATATTTCTCATATAATGAATGCAATATGTTGATTCAACCCAAATACAAAATTGAACATTATTAAAAAAAAATTTTTTTTTGAACAGGAAAACTAAATTTATTCACAAAAAGGAAAAGAAAAATTTACACCCGACTTGCCCAAGTTCCCCTCGAATCAGCCAAAACAAGAAGGGAGAGCCTCTTTGGCCAAAGGGTCCTCCTCCTTGTCTCACACATGTGGTTAGTTATTTTTAAATTAAATTATAAAAAAAAGAACAAGACGTCAAAATTAAAACCATCTTAGGTCATAATTGTCCATAATAAAATATATCATCACTCAAACTCTTAGGTTTTAATTGTTTCTAATAAAATTCATGGTTACTGAAATAAAACCCTCTCAGGTCACAATTGTTTCTAATAAAATCTATTATTACTATCTCCAATTATATCTCTCTAACTCTCTTAGGGTCTGTTTGGCTTACAGTTGGAATGGAATTGAAATCCTTTGGAATTGGAATGGTCTATTCCCGTAGTTTGTTTGGTTCAAACAAGAATGGGAATGAGAATTGGAATTAGTAAGAACGGGATTTCATTCCCAACGGAGGGGTAGGGAATGGCCATTCCGGCAGGAATGGGAATGGGATTCCTATTTTGCCCAACCAAACAGTTGGAATTGGAATATAGCCCATTCTGATTCCGATTCCAGACCCCTAATCCCGTGAACCAAACAGGGCCTTAATCCTTTTTGGCTCTCTCTCTCTGTAATAAGGTAGGAGTATAAAGTTCGATGGATCGGACTAGGTAAAAGGCCAAACCAAAACCAACCTTAAAATAAACCATAATTATGAACCAAAGTGATGTTGAAAAGCAAAACTCAAATTCGTTACCCAAATAAAGGTGCAACTTGGGTTATGTTGGGAGTTCAATAAATTTTCAGTGTGCTTGAACCCCAACACATGCCTAAGATAGTTGAAATTCTTCAAATTTGACAACCCAACTTATCGCCCAAAATTAGGGGTGACACTTCACAATTGCATCGATGACCTCGGTAAGCTGAATTGCAAACAGCTAGGCAAAGCCTCAAGTCAACGTAAGAGGCAACCTACTTCCACTGATCTGACTCGACTCCGATTAAGCAACCTCCCCCTTAAACGGACTATTACCTCCGAATTTTCCGGGATCACGACGCCACGTTGGAAGAGCTGGTTATCACCCCACCCACTTCGGGCAAGATTGGATAAATGTTACCTGCCTACACGGAGTCCACTTCCAGGCATGAAACCACCTCTGAACTAGACGGGTCGGAGATTTTGGATGTGTTTTGTAAGGCTCATAACAGTTCACCTATATAAGGGCCTCACCTCCAGCCTCATAACATACGTGCAATTTAGCACACAGTATCTCTCTCTGAAAACTCCAATTTGCTAACTTAAGCATCGGAGTGCTCACACTGGGTAAATCAGCTCGAGTGCTCTGATCTTTTCTCTTTCTTTATAACTTGACCAAGCGACCTACCTAGTCCAGCATCCAATCTATTTGCCAACAGGGAACATCAATCACACATCATCAATATCAAAAAGACATGATACCTCAAAAATTTTTAATACGTTTGGTTCATAGTTAGAATCAGAATCAAAATAGTCTATTCCCCTCTCCCTATTTGGTTCAGACTAAAATTGGAATCAAAATCATAATTGGCTGGTATAAATTCCGCCAAGAATGAGAATGGAATTCCAATTCTATGGTTCCACCCAACACCAAAACAGTTGGGACCATTCCGACTCCTAACCCCTATTTCCACAAACGGAACAGACCCTCATAACCAATCAAACCGACATCATGAACGACCTTCATAGCCAATCAAACCGACATAATAAAAGTGGTAACCAATCAACTGGCATCAGAGAGGTTTTGATTGGTCATCAAGTCAAAATGTCACAACGTACTTGTAACTTTTTTGGTAAATGCACTTACGCACATATGCATAAATGTCGGGACAAGGCATGTTCTAATGCCATTTAATGCGAGTAAGATCACCAAATTTGATACACTAAAATAACCTCAGGATGAGTCTAGAAAGATTAGGATAGGTAAAGAATGATTTCAAGACAATAAAATGGTAGAGGTTAGAAGGGATCTTGGGCTCTTTTCTTTCTTTCTTTCTTTTATTTTTGGGTAAAGGATCCTGGGGCCTGATTGCTGCAATTGCAAATGTCCCCCAACTGTGAAGAATTTTAAATATGGGAAAATAAAATATTTTAGAATTTTGAATTTTAAGTAGGGTTTTGAGATGTATTAGTATAAAGCTAATTAAAATCTACATGGGTTGTCCAAAATCCAAATATAGGATCAACATGGAATAGACAGTGTAGTACAGAACTGGGAAAATTTACCAACCATAAAAAAATGAATTTCAATAGACTTGATCAGTTCAGATCTCTAGGGATATTGAATTGACTCTTTTAATAAATAAATCAATAAATAAATACTCGTAAGACAGATGAGATAGCAAACCAGGAATCACTCAGACACCTAGAACAATATTTTTGGATGGCTACCCAGATGGTCGGACCATTTGGCCCAGAAACTGTCCAAGCAACCGAATCTGCTTTACCCCAAACCTTCTCTGGCCAAAAATCGTTAAATTAATCAATGACCCATTGACCCAGACAGTCAAATCGTCAACCCATTCAATGGTTTTTGGCTGTTTATTATTTCAATCATTCTTTTCTTTTTTTGTCAGAATGGGCCATCATTCCGGTTTCAGAATGGTTCCGGTCCCAGGTCATTTTTTGGGTTTACAAGGATTAATCACCACAAGTATAATATGCATAAAACACTCAAGCATCATTCCGGTATCATACAAAAAAAAAATCCATTTTGGTTCCTGCATCATCCTTAAAATTTACAATATTGAGTATTATAAGGAGAGCATATTAAAAAGCATGCATATGTGATATGTATAATATATTTGAGAGAACACTTGATACACAAGCTTCTCTAGTTCTCTAGTCCCCTTTTCAATTCATTAAGATTGAAATAAACTGCCAGATATGAATTGCATTTCCAACCAGCACGATACAAATGAACCCAAGGAGCCCGTTAAAAATCATAGACAATGCAAGATATCATCACCAAATTTAATTGTTTCCAAGACATTGCATGAAGGCATCGTATTATTGAATGGTTTCTAGATTTCTACATCGTCTATAGCTTTCTCTATGGTATCAATACAGAAGCCAACAGACCTTCCCATGGACATGGCCTCTGCAAGTTTTGATCTAGCTCCTTCATGACGACGTAGAAGTAGAACAATGTTTAATACTGCCCATCTCACCTGAGAATCTGCTTTCTTCTGTGTAAAGCCCAAGCCTTTCAGTAATCTGTCCAACTGCTCCATAACCAAGAAAATAGCAGTTAGTGACCTTTTAAGATTTCATCTCCGCCGTAGTAGGGAACAAGGTCAGGTCTACATGGCATATCAATACAAAGTATCATATGCCAGGAAATGGACAAATCATTATGCATGATGTATGACCCATTATTTGGCCTTTTCCAAGTATCATTGTATCAACAAATCAATAAAAAAGAATCAACTGTTATGATCCTAGTGTTCTATACTATCTTGAGTCTTGACTGTTAGCATTGTTTTTCTGACCTGTTCAAGGTCACCAAGATACAGTTCTATATTATCTTGGTAATCCACTCTATGGTTAATTTTACTCCTTGTAAATTTACATGTTTAGCTAACTAGGCACCCTGTGACTATATTTAAAAATCACAGCCAACCTTGTCAATATCAGCAAGACCTCCCTCAGCACATCCAAATAAAAGATATTCCGTTGCCACACCAGCCAGTGCTATGCATGAAAACCTATTCAGCATCTGCATCAAGAGCATACCCACCTATAGTTTTTTTTTGGTACAGGCGCACCTATACTTGTTCAAAAAAGAACAAAAAACTACCAAGAACAACAAAATCACAAGCAGCACACAAACATGTAAACACCACAACAAAGCAGATAATGCAAGAATGCAGCATTCCAATCTTAAGATGTAAAAACATTTTTCATACTTGCAAAAAGCACTACCCTCACAAAGTTGGGCCATCCTGTATATTAATCCTACAATTGCATATCATGCAAACCAGATTGAGTACAAAACCAAATCCTTTTATGATCACAGGGATTTCCAGACATAATTGTAAGCTTACACAAGAACCATCCATAGCAAGAAACATTCAAAATGAATTAAGAATTTGGCTCCAAAGCACCGTATGCGCACTACAATGTCATCCCAACTTCTTGTGCACAAATTCCAAGAAAGGAAAAAAATCTCACCTGAGCAGAAACTTTCCCTTTATTTACCTGCATAGTACAGGCACAGTGAAAAAAGTGTAGTTTAGTAGTCATTGATATGATGTCCCAAATGAAAAGAAAAATCTAATAATTGAAACCAAGTCAAACAACACAACAAGCACAAACTGTTTTCTGATCCAACCCAAAGATTAAATTTGCCAACTCAAATTATATACCAGTAGTAGCGTTGACACATCCAACATTAACAGTGATTTATTAACCAAATTTGTGGAATTGTTTGAATGACAATGCCAAGCTTGGTGCAATAGAAATTCATATCCTCCTAGCAAGAAAAATGAAAAAGATAACTACTACTACAAGGTAAAGCCACCCCACAATACGTGAAATCCCTTCAATTCTCAATTTTCCTAATTCAACTTCTTTTATTTTTTTTTAATTAGTAACATTTTGATTTATTCATTTAGGTAAAATAATGTTATATGTACAAAAGGATAGTGGCCAGAACCCCAAGCCATATTTACAAGTGTAACAGGCCGTTGATTTATGTTTCCTCAATACAGCTGATTTCTTTCAACTCCTTATCTCGCAATTGCATCTGCCACGCTGTTCACTGTTCTCGTCACCCACTTGGCCAATGCTCCACCTCGCAAGGCTTCTTACCAATTTTGTATCTATACTGCCATGTGTCCAAATCACTGTTTTTGACCCACTCTTGTAGTTCTAGAGTCCCCTACTGCCATTATGTATTTGTCGCTTTCAGCTTTTCCCAACCTCAAGCCTATTACTGCCAACAGTCCTGTACGGATCATGTCTCCAAACCCTATAGGTGTTGAATGGAGTAGTGTTTTCAACCCATTGTTGGCCCAGCCAATTGGACCATTCAACCCATCATGTAGTCATGATTCTGTTTCAGGTTGTAAACCTGCCATTATTTGTAAAACATTGACTTGGTCAGTGACCTGCCAACCCAAGCAGTTAAATCATCGACCCGCTTGAGCTGGTCAGGGTTGAGCCACTGGCCCACCACCCTGAGGGAAAATGGATCAGCCTCCGTGTTGGTTTTTAAAACACTGGAATAGAGTGCCATCATGTTCCCCAAATGATTTCAAAATACTCCAAACAACCACTGATTCTTCTAGGTTGCCCCTACTGCACCCATCAGAGTTTTGTTTGATTTGGTTCACATCTGTCAGTATCCAATGTATCATCCTCTTCCACCTGTAGATGAAGATAATGCCACCATTTGCCACACCCTCACTATGTTACCTGTCAAAAAGGATTGAACAAGCTCCATGTTTTCATCCAGTGCATTACTTTAATGAAGATAAGCTCCATCATCACCTCCTTGGAAGATAATGACTAATATACCAAAAAGGTTGGATAAGGTGAACTTGACTAGAGGGGAGCATTCATGGATCCAACCAACCATAAAAGTTTCTTTTCCCAGTTAAAGCAAACTTCTCCATCTTTTTAACTGAGTGTATATTGCATAATGACATGGATTTCAGAAGATAATGTATTAAAATTTCCTATTTTTACATCTCAAAACATTGATAACCATTTCCATCCTCCATGTCCTTAAAAAAATCCTCACTAAAGAGCATTCTTCAACATTCAATCCACACCCCAAGATAATCAAATCACTTGAAAATGACTGCTACTAAACTTTAGTGCATCCAATTTGGGTTCAAGTCACACAAGAACTGAGGTCGTAATTGGATTACCTCCTCACTGCACCAAAAGCCACTAAAGTCATCAATTTGAATCTAAATTTACCTATTCTATAGGTTGCTTACTTACAAGAATGCATAGGAAAAAAAGAAGAGAAAAAGAAAAGACAGAAGAGGGATTCCTTGGCAAAGCCTACTATAACACTTAAAATATCCTTTTTCCTGAACTACTTTAATAAGCACCAAAAAGCAGTTGATTGAGGTGCCCCTTATCCATTTCCTCCACCTCCTATTAAAACCCTTGTTTCTGAGAACCAAATGGACCAAGTTCAAAGTATATGAGGCGTATTGGAAAGGGTTGGATTCAAAGACTACTTTCACCTGCCTGGCAGGTCGCATACCCTGAGTTCATTGGAACAAAAAAAGATCATACTAGTTATTTAGAGATGTTCTTTGAAGGGGTTGTGTTGGGTTCTTTTCCCTTTTCACTTGTATCAGTGATACTTTTATCACCTGGGTTTGTATCTTTTTTCAATTTTTCCTTCAATGAATTTTTTATTTTGCTGTGAAGAAAAAAAGTTGGCCTAAACAGAACAAAACAAAACTTACTTCTTCAACAAACTCAAAATCCACAAAAGCTGTCCCTGCTTGAACATTGAGGGATCCTTCCTTTCTCAGAGCTTCCAAACTTGACAGTGTATAACCCTTGGGAAGAATTCCAAGCAAGTAGGCTATTATGAAATGCCCAGCTTCATGCTGCACAAAGGAACCAGAAGATTGTTATTTCCTGAAGTTCAAACATTAAACCCATTAAAAATAAAGTTACAGTTGAAAAGGGAAAAATATGCAGTCTAAATATCAAAATATTAGATATTATGCAAGCTGAAATGAATTTTAGCATTTGAGACAGAAAATTGGCTTAAATTTCATTAAACATATGATAAATAATATATGTGAGACATCGAAATTACTTAATTGCCACATCATCATGGACCACAGATATTCAATGGATGTGGACCTTGGAAATATTTCTCAAATGTATATTATCACTTAAAAGTTCCAAGTGAAAATTTAAAAGACAACAAGCTTTGAAAAGTTCATAGTAGAAGGAACAAGACCATTAGATTCTCAATTATTATATTCAGAAAGATATATTTAGGTTAATCCCATACATAACTTGCAGATAGTCAGTCTAATAGGATATGTTTCATTTCTGAATCTAAATCAACACCATTAGGTTGTCTCAACCTTTATCCAGAAAGATCTGCTTAGCAGTGTATACCATACATTACTTGCAGACTATCCAATAAAATATGTTTCATCATTGGATTCAAACCAATCCAAGAGCTCTTTATTATTTATAAAAACGAGTGTAGAAGAAGATTCTGAGTGAGGGAAGTATGTCTATATATAAGAGGCACATGATGTCCAGCTTACTTGAATGACCCTATTGTGGTATTTTTGACTAACAGTATGACCAATTGTATCAAGAACCAAACTGCCAATTCCTCCATTTACCAAAACCTACAAAATGACAAGTTGGTGAGCCATTTGGATAGTCTGAGCATGCAATCCAACAATTTGTAATGCATTAAGAAAACCTTGAGGCTTAAAACACTCCAGAATTTTGAAAGCACAAACTTTTCAGAATCGTAAAACATTAGTTTTGCTGCAAGTCTACAAGAATTCCCCTCCACCCTAAGCCACCCACTAATAAATAAAAATTAATAATAAATGAAAACAAAAAGTAAGAGATACAAGTACTATTATGCTCTCTGCACCCTCTAAACTAGCATGAATGAAACACCAAATTATAATGTGATTGAAATTGGGAGAGGGGGAATAATTTCCCCAGTCCTCCAAAGAAAATTGCTCACATTGAATATCCATACAAATAGTGGTTGTTAGCAGAGAGAGAGAGGGAGAGAGACAGAGAATAATAGAAATTTATGGATTAGATGGGATGAGAATGATAGAGTTGGCAAACAAAATCAAATTTGCCCTTTATAAAAAGAAAAAAAATAATTGAAAAAAATCCCAATGCATACAGTCTATGCTTTTAAGGAGCACTTGCAGGCTCCAAAATGACAAGGGAAGGGCCAAATGACATAAAAAAGGGGGTAATGAACAAAGATTAAAACGTGTCCCCACCAACATAAGCTACAAGCAGAAAAAAGTGGATCAGCAAGCACCCAATTAGCAAAGACAAATGTATTGCATATGGCTTAAAAGGAATGATACAGGTTTTGCTTGTAATTGGAATAACAAGGCTAGATTCTCTGGTTACTGCAGAAATTTTACCACTTCAGACCAACCATGACTGGTCGTTGTGACTTCTAGTCGATGCAATGACTGGACAGTGCCTAGTTGATGAAAAAAAAAAACAAAGACATGTTCCAAATTTGAGATATTGATGCAATCCTGTAAATAGGTTTAGACTAAAACTATGCAAGAAAAGAATGATATTTAACCTTTAGTAGTATTCGTTTTGCAAACATCAAAAAGTATGGCTAGATAGGCTAGGATAAGGAATTAAAGCCTTTTTTCCCAAAGAAAGAGTGCAAGCTTTACTTTTTAATAAGCCCCTTATTTGTGGCAACTCTGTAGTACCACATCACTGATTAAAAAAAATTGAAACAACCCCTCCATTGTCTTCTTTTGTTTGTATTTTTTTTTTTTTCTATTTTATGTACTATCAGTCAATCATAGGGGCATTGCTTGGTGTAATGGTAAATTCTCAGGCTGACAAACGTGAGAATGCAGATTCAAATCTGAGATTGGCCACATCCTTCCCAAGACTCCAAATAGCTGGGACCAACATTGAGTAATGACATTTTTTATCAATCAATCATGTTCCACCGAAAATGTTTAAAGCAACAGTATAAATATAACAAAATACAAACATAATTCTATATTGTTTCAAATAAATAGAAATTCAAACAAACAAATAAAGCTTTCAAATGATTTTGTGGTTAACTAGGATGACTAGTCATTAATCAACAAGTCAACCCAAGTCAATGCTTAGTTGTCCTAGGCAATTGCAACATGAGTATTGACCAACTAATTGGTGTGCAGTTAGTCTGGCCCTCAACTGACTAGTTGACACTTTGATATTGAGAAATGACACAGCTTCAAAAACCAGATACAAAAGAATGATACAAGTATATTAAATGCAACACTCATACCTGTATCCATCTTCAGAGATCTAGGGAAATTAAGAGCCCATCCGTATTGGGCATCACAAGGATGAAAGAAACTTGTTATAGATTTGGAGGAGGTTTTCATACAACAACCATATTTGTATGAATTAATCATCATCTTACCACCAATGAAGTATTAACAGAGCTCGGTGTGGAATAGCACCCACTAAAATGTTCTACAAATACTCATCTATTTCTGAAGACTTCCTGTACAAATATTGCTAACATAACTATCATTACTTCTAAGTTCTAAAGTGGATGAAAATTGCTGGAGAAGAAAGCAGATTATCAAATTGTTTATATAACCATTTAATTATAGTTCTACACATATACTCCATCTTCTACAAGGGCTTCACATCGGGGGAAAGAACTATTTGTACTAGAACAGCTAAAGTTCAGCCAAAAAATAAGAATAACAATACCTTCAAGTACTATTAGCTCATCCTGTAAAGATAGCCAACCAGATTGTTACAATACCAAACATTCAAAACCCCTTACTCACCAATAAATGATCAGCATTAGAAACCAAAGATCAAATATTTGATGTAAGAACTTGTCAGGAATGCATCTCTTAAGTTTTTAAGCTTTATATGGTTAGTAAGTAATTGTCATCATCAGCACTTTCACAGGGAATACGAGTATATTTCCTTACAATAGAAATCCTGAATGTTTCATAAGCTTTTTCTTATTCAGATTTCAGAAACCAGAACATGCTGCTGTGACAAATCCCTTTTTTCATATAATAGTAAGGCATCATTCAGATCTCAGACAGAATCTTCTGGCAGAGCCTTCAAGTCTTCTAATTGATAATGGAGATATTTAGATCAGTCTGGATTTTTCAAATATTCTGGTTTCTTTTTAGAAGAAACAATTCTATATCAGCAACATTTCAATCACCATAGCATCACAACCCATACAAGAAAACACAATCTAAACTGAGAGATGAACATTGGTTTCAAAAGATTTTTTAGTGGAGAAGCATAAATAAGCCAGACAGTAACTCTTTCTGTTTCATGATGAAAATCAATTGCTTTCTAGGGGCACTAAGGAGGTGTTCTATGCTGTGGTTTTAAATAGGGGTTGTGTGCTTCAAACCACTAGGCCCTGCCATGCTGTGTTTGAAACCATGGGTTCTGGAACTCACCAAACCCTTGGTAGTGTTCTGTTGTTGTGTGGTGTGTTCTAGAATATTAGGATTTGAAAAGTGTTGGTTTTAAGGCTAGATGTACTGAACCAGTGCTGAATAAATCCAGAAGAGTGAGTGTGGCTGTGAACATGAGAAATAAGTATGTTCAAATACTTATGACATTTTGAATTCTGAAACCACATATTGCTGGCCAGAATGAAAAACAGCTTAAAAAAACACCCAGGCACCATGGTGTCTTCTGGAACCAGATGAAACATGAAAATAACACAGCACTAAACGCCACCTAAATCATAATTAAAGAAGAAGCAAACCGCAGTTTCTCTCAAAAACAAAAATACAAGTAAATTCCCACTCGTCTACAGTACAGACACTTCAAGCAACAACATTAATGAGGCCAAGTAGATTTCTTTTTCTCATTTTTTCCTTTTTCCATTTCAAAAAACTATACAGATCATCAAAAAAAATCTAAATAAGGATATCAATGCTAGACTGATTTTGAGGTCATAGAGAAAAGGCCAATGCAAGCATTAATCACTCCCATAAACAATTAAGTGACAAAAGTAGGTAAACTGACAAACATGGATTATGAATTCAAATTTTCAAATACAACTTACCAAGTCCAATGACCACAGAAATAACAATCCAAGGGATAAAAGTAGGATTTGTTGTTGTGTAAGTCCAAAAGCAACCCATGCAGAAATCCCTGCCAGAACAGCAGCAACCTGTAGATTTCTTTCTATTGAACCAAGTGTTGCATCTACCGGTGATAGAAGAGATAAAGTATCTATATTGTTCAACTTCAGTTCATCCAAAGTATAGAGCCTTTGGGGGATCTGCATCATTTATTTTGCAAAAATTGTTAGACCATATACTGCCACTCATATATTGACTTTCTTTGAAAGGTAAGGAATATCAAAAAAAAAAAAAAAAAAAAAGATCACATCTCAGACCATTTACACCCAGTTGTATTTGTTTATAGGACTATAAAATTGTTAGCAAGGTATTAACATGGGAATATCAAAAAACCTAACTAGCTCTATTATCTGCACTTTATGAACCGATAACCATGAACAGAACATCCATCCCTTTGAGTTTGCTAAACAAGTATGGATCGCTTGAAGAGTAGTTCTCAAAGATCCTAGCATTCCTTTCTCTTCAAATTGACCAAAATACAGCTATTGGCACCAAACTCCACACTACTCTAGTCTTTTTCTTAGACCTTGAATCTTCCAAGTTCCAACTCAACAAAAAAGACTGAACGAACTGGAGGAAACACCCAGCCAAGCCAAAGGTGTCCGGAACTACACTCCACAACTTAGTATAGAAAGGACAGCACAGACATAAAAGATTAGCTGTTTCCACTTCTTCAGGGCACAAAACGTATCCCCATTGATCCAACACCATCCCCCTACTTAAGAGCATATCTCAGGTTAAACACTTCACAAAAGCAAAGTCCAAAAAAAAAACTTTGGAGGGGGTTCCACTGTGCCAAATTGCATATGCTGGAAATTCCCCAAGGGTATCCTCACACAAGCTCTTGCACAAACAACAAAGATTTCTCCACTAAAAACTTCAAAGTGATATAAGAGCAAAAGAAGCATGTAGACGGTGTTGCCTTATAAGTAAAATACAAATCAACAACAATATTTTATGGAAATTCCCCACAGCTTAAACCCCGGAAGATATATGCAGCCACGGTGAATGATTATATATCCCATAAAAAAACTGCTGCCCTTAGCCTACCAAGTTACCAGAGGGAAGCAGACACCAAAGCCCAGACCACGATCACTCTCATTGCACAGCTGCACAATTCTACAAGCAATTTACCAACAATCAAAAGAAAATGCAGGTTTGCATCCATCTACATGCACCCACATGCATAGATAACGAGTGGATTCCTTCATACCATAACAAATATGCTATTGCTATATGTTAAACCATTAGAACCCCAGAAGTCAGCGAATGAGTATGCAGACATGGGTGATGAAGATATAATCTACATGCATGGCACCACTGCAGAAACAACCAAATGGCATTAAAACCTTCTGCTACAGAAAAAGGGTAATGGAGGCACAGGACAACCTGCCTTGCTGCGCCAAAGCAGCGGAGACCCCCGGGCTTTCCCTGTAAATCCCTAGCAAGAGATAGTGCCGCCACATCATTCCCGCTTGCTAGTTCCTTATCTACTTGTTCCAAAATCTGCAATCGTGAACCACCAGGTTCAATAGAACATAGAGCTCTAACCATGCGAAGGTTCAAACGTGGCCGCAACGACAACCTGAAACCATAATACACCATGGAGCCCATCTCTGGCAACCAACTTCAGATATGCATACTAATGTCCTAACAGATATAGCCTCGATGAGTGACTTCGGCTTCCCGTCACTCCCAACCACAAAAAATAAATAAATAAATAAATATATATATATATATAAAAGACAACCACAAAAAAAAGAGTTATTTTAATAAGATAGAAGGGCAGAACTATATTGGTGATCAAGGGAGATCAACCAGGGAAAAATAAAGTTCGGAATTTTTCAAAGAAAGCTGGGAACAATTGAACAAAAGTTCCATCAATTTTCCATCGCATTTAACAGAATGAACGAAGCAAAACCACTGTACACACACAATTATCAGAAATTATTTTCTGTCTTTATATTTCGCAAAAATAAAGAGAAATAATGGGGTTCTCTATGATTACAAATTCAACAAAGATGCAAGAGAATTCCCCATTAATAACAGTATCAAGCAGTGATGATGACCTTTCTTTTATCTTTTAAATAAAAACAAGAGAAAAAAAAATAACAAAAAAACCCTAAAACTCTTGCGATGCGGAACCAAGCTCGCCTTTTCCCTTTCCTATCTTCTTCGGCAAGAGAGTTTGATGAATGTTGGGCAAAACACCCCCATTAGCGATTGTAACAGTCCCCAGAAGCTTGCTCAACTCTTCATCATTCCTCACTGCAAGCTGTATATGCCTCGGCACAATACGATTCTTCTTGTTATCTCTTGCCGCATTTCCAGCAAGCTCGAGAACCTATCAAAAATAAAAAAATAAAAATAAATCAAACGTGAGATCGTTTCGCGGATGCACAAAATCAGCAAAAAAAAAGAAAAAACAGATGAATTCACACAAACCTCGGCCGCAAGATACTCAAGCACAGCGGATAGATAGACCGGAGCACCGGCACCAACACGCTCAGCATACTTTCCCGCCTTGAGGAATCTGGCGATTCTTCCAACGGGAAACTGCAAACCGGCCTTCTGAGATCTGGAGACAGATTTTGAGGCCTTGGGTTTTCCCCTACCACCCTTCGTCGAACCCGATGAACTCATCTCTGATTTCCGGAAGGACACGAAAACCTAACTGAATCGCGACGATGGAAAATTGGAAATGGCTTTTGCTTTTCAAGTTGAACTTCTGCACAATTTGTTTCAAAGAAAACGAATTTGTTTATATAGGAGCGCGAAAGCGAGTGTAGGACTGGGTTTGCTTCCTTATTCGTCGATCGGGGAGCACACGGATTGCCAGCGTGGGATTTTTGGAAAAAAATAGTGGAGAAAATTATTCTTTTCGTTTTGTTTTGTACTTTGGAGTGATGGACGGCCATCCGATTTCTAAACCATTTTTGTCTGACACTTCTGATAAAAAAATCTCGACCCTCACGGCCTCACCCCAACGGCCCAACTTTCACCGGTTTATTGCATGAACCATCCGGGTTCGATTAGTGTTCGGTGAAAGTCTGAAGAACCCATACCCGGATGAGTCAGGGACTCAGGGTGATCATGGGCCAGGCCGGCCCGGCATTGCACCTGTGATATGTAGACCTGTTAATGGGCCGGGCCGGGCCGGGCTTTTACTCGTCATTAATGGAAATACGTTAGGCCCGAGCCCGACCACGGCCCGACCAATGGGCCTATAACTTGGGATCGAGCCCGACCCTGATAAAAAGCCCGAAGCCCGACCTAATAAAAAAAATTACAATTTTCCCTATTCAAATTAGAATTAAAAATTCAGATGGTTTTTTTCCTATTTAAATGAACAATGGGCCTACAAGATGGTTTTTTTCCCTTTCTTTTACGTTTTAAAATATAGTTTTACATTCTTAAATCAAAAAATGTATTCAAATGGACATAATCACATAACCCATTTTAAGTCTAATTTTAGGTCGGGCTGGGCCAGGCTTGGGCCAGGCTATTTTAACAAAACCCAAGCCCAGCTCAAATTTATTGTGGGCCTGGCTTTTTGGCCTAAGTTTAAGACCACGGGCCTATAAACATGTTCAAGCCCGTCCGGGGGCCGGGTCGGGCCGAGCCGGCCCATGAACAGGTCTAGTGATACTGGAAATAGCCCATACCCGGCCCGGCCTGGATTCTAAGCCTGAAACAGGATTCTGGGCCTAGGCCTAGAAGGGTCGGAATGGGAACAGACCTGGTCCTGGGTTTATGTATAAAGTGTTACGAAATATATATAATATTTTATATTATATATGTCACATAATGTGCATAAAATATGTTTTGCACATTATATAATATAAAACAACATATATAGACACTTGGATATGGATAAGGATTCGCTTGAAAAACGCATGGATACGGATGAAAAATATAAAAATGCTTGGATATGCTAAGGGATACATATAAATTCAATAATTATATTAATAACTCAAATTTTAATGTCAAAATAACTATAAATAACGCATAAATACATAGGAATTGTATATTTTAATGGTATATCCGAAGAAATATATTATTATTGATATAACGGGATATATAGATATTATACAATTTTATTGATAATGCATCAAATTTTATTTCTTATTGAAATCCAAGGTACAAAAAATATGCAACCATTATATTTGAATTATTATATCAATTATTTTTATTTTACTATTTCAATTTTTAACATCAACAAAAAAATCAACTAAAAATTAATTTGAAAATGTTCGGTAAATAATACTTTCACTTTTGTAAACAATAAATATGTTTATATAAAATGTAAATGAAATTTTGAAGATGCATATCATATGAAAATTTATAAATTTTAATTACTAAAATAATTATTCATTATCAATATTTTTTATTTTTATGATTTTTTTAAAATAAAAAATTTAATTTTTATTTAAATGTAGATTAGTGGATTTGATATATTCGATTTATATTATATTCTCAAATATTTTATAAACAATATTTTATCTTTGTAATAATAAATACATTTTTATTTAATGCAAATTAAAATATTAATTAATAATTTATAAAATAATTATTATATTTTATCAAGTCTACATAAATAATTCTAAGTATTGAAGTAATTATTCTACTAATAATATTTTGATTTGTATAAATATATTGAAATTAAAATCATTTATATATATGTGGATTTGAAAAATTATTTATTTTATTGGTTTACAAAATAATAATTTTTAATATTATTCTTGTTAATTTGTACTTGAAGTTATTGAATATACTTATTTGTTTATATTAAATGTAATAATTAATTTTAATAAAAGAATTTATTTCATTTGTTATTACGAAATGGAAGGTGGTTTGATGGTTAAGATTCTTATGGTCTTGGACGTTATGCGACTCGAGTTTTAGGGATTGAATCATGCTAAAACCGTTTTTTCTATTGAAGGCTATAAAGCACTTTTATGTGCGATACGCGGGTTCAATACGTCTTTGTATCAGTACGTATTGGATTGATACACTGCAATACGCATTGATACAATGATGTATCAGACTAATACGCACAACTAACACACCTGTCGATATTTTAATCTCTAATGACCACTCTCTATAAAACTCTCAACCCTATCTCTACTTAGAACTATAAAACGGGCCATGCTAGGCCAGCATCAAGGTTCAAAATATCGATACGTTGATAGGGTGCGTACCGGGCTATATTGATATATATATTTTTTATTTTTTTCAAAACTAGTTCAGGGGGCTAATTTAAGTCTCCCCCACCCCCTGAACTGGTCAGAAACCCAATACATCCTTTGAAGGGGCATATCAGGGAACTCCCAAAATGATATGTATCGACCGATACATGTCAATACTATGACCAACATGGCATGACCCGTGTGCAGCCCGCGCAAAGTGCAGGAATGCCATGCCAGGCCTGTAGGCCATACTGGGTTGTGCCTCCCTCCCCTAGGATATTTGGGGGGGTTGGCCTGACCCATGGCCCGAGCACGCCTAGGCCCGTGTTGTGTCATGAACAAGGCCAAAGCTATGAAAGGTTTATTTAAAAATTAAAAAGTCTTAAAATTTTTATTTTATATGAATTTTAATGTATAATAATTAAATAAAATAGTATAATAAGATTGAAAACAATTGTTTACTTAATAATATATTATATATTGTATATTATTATATAGTTATAATATATATTTTTATATAAATATATATGGATTGTAGACTTGTTCATGGGCCGGGTGGCCCGACGGGCCGGCCTGGCCCGGCCCGACCCCCGGACGGGGCTTGAATAGGATTTTTGGCCCGTGGGCTTAACCTCGAGCCAAAAAACCCAACCCGCATAAAATTCGAGCCAGATTCGGGCTTTGCCAAAATAGCCCGGCCCGACCCAACCTATAGTTAATGATGTCTATTTGAATAAATTTTTTGATTTGAGAAAGTCATTGATTCACTTATAGGCCCATTGTTCATTTAAATAGGGGAAAAAAACATCTAAATTAAAATAGAAAATGTCCATTTGAATAGGGAAAATTTTGAATTTCTTTTATTAGGTCGAGCTTCGGGCTCGGGTTGGGCTTCGGGCTTTTTATCAGGGCCGGGCTCGGGCCCAAGTTATAGGCCCATTGGTCAGGCCGGGCCAGGCTCGGGCTCGGGCCTAACAGTTTTTTGTTAATAAAGAGTCAAAGCCCGACTCGGCCCGACTCATGAACAGGTCTAATGGATTGTGTTGTTTTATGCTTTGCAGACCCACGGCTGTTCTTGGCACGACCCAATTTACACCTCTACCTCTACTTGTCATTATTTGAGTCAGACCGCCACACCGATCTCAAGGCATTCCTGGCACGACCAAATTTACACCTCTACCTCTACTTGCCATTATTTGAGTCAGACCGCCACACCGATCTCAAACCACCAAACCACACCGAAAGCACGAATGAACATGCTTTTGCCAAACAAAAAATGGTACTTATGATTTCAAAATACTTTTTAAACTTTTTTTTACCCAAATGATTTTCATAACAAAAAAAAACCAAAGTAAAAATATATTAAGTATTTTGTACTTGGGTATTTTTGAAAGTACAAAATACATCGCTTGCTGTAGTGAAAAGCAAGGATAAAAAATAGCAAGTATAGCTGTAAAAGTTCCCCTTCATGTGCTGGCCGGAGCATCACTTCGTCCGGCAGCCTTGCAAGGGGGCGTTTGGAAACGATGCAAGTAAGTGTGAATGAAAATATAGTGTAAAATGGTCTATATAAATTGCAAAGTTGGATTAATTTTGCACTGACAAATTTATCTTCTTACCAATCAGGCTTTTAGCTGTAATAAAAATTCCAATAAAACATATCTTTTTTTTTATCAAAAGCTCACTTGAATGCAAATTTAATTCATTTTTATTGATGTACTTTTACATCTTATTATCAATTTTAATATGCATTTATTCATCAGTTGTCAATGCATAAATGTAATGCTGCCACAGGCAAAAGAGAACCAGAGTACAAATTTACCCTGAATCGGGATTTACACTCTATTTGCATCGTTTCCAAACGCAGCCCAAAGTGCTAGCTGGTGGGTTTGCGGTTCAGATCAAATGACAGCATCTTCAACCCTATAAAAGTTTCCAAAAGAAAATCCAGTTATAAAATACACCAATTGTGAGAGGGTAAAGGGGTCAATAACTTTGATCTACCATTCTATTAGCCACTGAAGAACGTGTATGCACATAGAGGCCCAATGGCTTCCTCAAAATTGGAATACAAAAGGAACCATTAAAGAACGTGTATGCACTGAAGAACGTGTATGCACATATTAGCCACTGAAGAACGTGTATGCACGTGTATGCACATAGAGGCCCAAGCACTTCTAACATTAATATGTGAGAGATCTCCAAAAGGAACCATTAAACAAACATTGCTTGCAAAATGGCTATTACAAACACCAGTCTGAAAACAGAGATATGTGTGCACGACCCCCCCCCCCCCAATGGCCTTTTTAACTCCAAATTTATTTCCTTGGCATTCTTTTAAACCTAAAACCCTAAATTCTTCCAACCTACAAACTTATGCCTATTTTCCACAACCTAAAGATAAGCCTTCCCATCCTTTCTCTTATTTGCTTTTCTCCTAAATATGTTTCCTCATATACATAAATAAACCTAACAGACTCCCAATCCTAAAATCATTTTTGTTGGGGCTTTTCCATTTGGATTCCATCTGAGTTGCTATTGACAATAACGTGCCTTCCACTCTTTTAATTACCCACACTATGATTGATAATGCACAGTTAAAATATGAACTCTCTATCATTGAACAATTCAAAGTTACTTTCACCATCTCCCATGTTGATCAAATTAGATTGTTCCACAACTTCAACGAAGTTAATGATTTCACCTACTTTCAGATCTCCATCTCAAGGACCCTAATATAGTAATATGCATCATAACGCTACTTGAAGTTCACTGACAAAATGAAGGTAAGCAAAAAAATCATCAGATGGTCTGGAGACTGGTAATGTAGCCCCCTCCCCCCCAAAGAGACCCGGGGCCTGGGTACTAGGAGGCTTCAGCACTTCAATACTGCTATATGCTGGGTCAGTGGCATTGGCTGTTTAATGCCTTCCCACATGGCTTGTGGAAGAAAATAATTGCAGAGAAGTTTGGGACTAGCAAGCTCAACTGGTATCCTGGCACTAGTAATATTCCATATGGCTGCTTGCAAGGTTTAAAGTATCAATAAGGACCGACATGCCGGACAGGGCGTATCAGACTTTAAAGGAATCTTCAATGCATAGGGGGGTTAATCTCAACTCCTTGAAGTTATTCTTTGTGGTTCCCACATCGTGTCTGCTGACCACCTATTCATTGGCTGCAGCTTTGCTATAAGCATTCTGGACTTTGTTTGCAGCCTGGTGAGCTGCTGCTACTGGAGCTATCCCAGTTCAATTAGGGACCATGTTCGGAGGTGGAAGCTGCAGAATTTGAGCAGGAGGGGGAGGATCCTTGGAGCACGATCCCTCTGGTAGTTATATAGGAGGTTTGGAAGGAGAGAAACCGCAGAATATTTGATAAGAGAGCTAAACCTGTCTGAAATGATTAGGTGGGCTGCTGCAACATTGCACTCATGGCTCTCAGCCCATGAGTTGTTTAAAGGAATTTTCCGCCATGAGTATTTTGAACATTCAATATTTCAAGCTACTCACTGACTCCTGTACATGGAGCGTACATGCTTACCAAATACATTAATGAAATTACCTTACCTTTTTCTCAACAGGAAGGTCGAGGTTGGCAAGTCTTTGTGTTCTCTTTGGGAGGAGAGACTTTTGCTAGAAGAGCTTTTCAAGAATTTGAGAGCAGGAGGAGAACCTTAAGAAAGGGGAAGGGGGAGAGATTTGGAGTGAGGAAGGAGGGCAGGAAGGTTTCTTTTTTTTTTATGAGGATTGAATCTGGTCGTTTGGAGGAGCTACTGGGGGATGACAACAGCTGTTTGTAGGAAAATTTCTCATTTAATTTATTTTGTAACTCTTTTATTTGGTAGGAAGGTTTGCTTTGGAAGGTGTTACCTTAGCACCTGCTAAGTAGTTGTAACTAGTTTTCTTTTTTCTTTGAATTAAAGTTCTCTTTTGTTATAAAAAAAATGACTAATGGATATAGATATACAAGCTGATAGATGCATCTAGGTAAGAGTATGTCAAACCCTCATCTATAAACCTATTGCTAATTACCACTGAGCCTGTCCTATAGTTCAAACAAACAATGTTAAAACCTAACAATTATATAGCCAATTCAGCTAATTGCAGAAAAATCCAAAAACAAAACTATCACTGATTCAAAAAAAAAAAAAAAACCAAAGATGAAAATTACTGAAATAACCATTTATTATACCTGCAATTACTGATCAATCTCCTTAATGAGACCACGTTATGTCTATGTGGAATGAACTTGTGAGTTGTGACAGAAGATCAGCATCAAGAATGCATCTACATATGCCAGATCGAAAACTGAAAACCTCAGCTTTCTCTCCTTAGTATTTCCTTCCTAGAAAAGCAATGCCATCGTCCCATACTCAACATTATGTTGCTCCTTTTGTTTAATTTTCTGAAGTCATTTTGCAGTTGCTTCAGGCTGGAATCTACTGGCCAGAGGCAAATCCATCAAAGGACTGCTGTAGGAACTCTGGCAATCAAGTGAGGTCATACAAGAATCCTTGAAGAGGCAATCCAATGCAACAAGAAAAGCATTGTGATGTGGTAAATGGTAATAGGGCGAAGACAAGAAGTATAACCACATGACCTGAAATTGATGATTCTGATGAAGAGAAAGGAGGATACAATCATACAAGAAGGAAGAAGAGAGTTAAACAGGAAGAAGAGAGTTAGACAAGATAACTTTTCTCAACAATTTGAGATCTGTTTCTGTTTCCTTCTATATGTATCTCTCAAATTTCTCTTTTCACTAATTCCTAGTTTCCTACCTCCTGTCTATGGGTTACATAAAACATACGAGGACAGAGATTTTTGTGGCTACAGCCCTTATGGTTCCACTCAAAAAATGGCAATAATAATAACATTCTCTTTTGACATCACATAAGCACCTGACAGGTCCCTTTTGTTTCCCTCTTTGTAGAAAAGGGGAAAACATCATAGCACTCAAGGAGAAGTTTTCTTGTCTTACTATCAAAAGCAGCTAAACAAATAAGGAAAAGCTTATGAAAGCAAAACAACATAAAGAATGGCCACATGGAGTGTATGTTATATGGGCTGCCACACATTTGCTGTCCTTATAATATCATCAATCACCATATACTTGGCTAAGCATAGACAATTGGCACCCTGCCTACCATTTCTTGCATCTAAAAATAATCTGCGAATATGCATTTGACAGAATCCTCTATTCCACCTTGTCAACAAAAGTCCAATTCCCTTTGATGAATAATCAATTTATAATACATGCAATAATTTATTAATTTAAGATTTATCAACTTATAACATACTTAGATATGATTGGTTTGGTTATGGAACCAAATAGATGAGTCCCCAATATTTTTCTGCAAAATCTCTCTCTTCTTTTAAAAGTAATGTGGTGAGATTATTAGATAACCGTGAAAAGAGGGGCAATCTATTAGATACAAAGTCATACATGAAGAAACAAAGAGTATAGGTATATGGGTATACATGGAAACTAAGTCCTTCATGGAAAAATAGAAAGAATAAAGAATGATCTTCTGCCACTGATTACTAAAACAATCAGCTTTCAGCTCATCAAAATCATTTAGAATACGGTGCACCAAATGAGCTACCTCTCCATCTTGTTGCTCAATGGTTTAGAGTCGCGCTCACATGCCCGCACAAAAAAAAAAAAAAAAAAAAAAAACAATGTGAAGGCCCATTCTTATTTTTGAGACCTGTAGTTGAATCCAAGCCTAAGCATTTGGCATTTGGCACTGAACCCCACGACAGAAGTTCATCATGCCAATATGATTAACCACCACTGAGTTCTTTATTTTGTCCATCCAATCACATAAACCAGTTTCTTCCCCAACAATATGCAAACTGTTTTTATAACTTTCCTAAAAAAATATTACTCTGCTTTAGCAGCACCAGAAAGTTAAATAGTCTGATGAACGCATGTTTGGCATTTATATCAAAATCAAAATGGAAAGGTCGCATTCATTTCTAGAATTATGTGATTATGAATAGACAGAGCATTAAGGATCACATATAATTCGTCAGAAAGACTGAAAAAATATCAAGATCCAAAGTAAAACATGCACTTTTTTGGACTTCCATAAAAGTCATTTAAACACCATGCAGAAGTTTGTCATGTGAATTTTCAAGATTTCAAAGTAAGCATAAACCGGAAGCTCAAAGGCAGCAAGAAATTCATTATCTCACCATTAAGCACTTGGTAATGCATATATATGTAAAAGAGAGAGAGAGAATTTAAAAAAAAAATATAAACTAATGAAACCATGCAGTTTCATAAAGTTTATAACCTTGAGAAGCTTTGTAGTAGAAAAAGATTGGTAAGAAATGGGCTAATAAGATTTCACAGTTCATAAATGCCCCACATCCAACATGGTAAAGTTGGAAACATCACTTGCTGTAGTGAGAAAGTGAGAAGCAGGGGTAAAAAATGGAAAATATAGCCCATCTGTTAATTAACAATTCCCTTTCATGTGCTTGCCGGAGCATCACTTCCTCCAGCAGTCTTGCGGTTTAGATATCGTATAACAGCATCTTCAACCCTATAAAAGTTTCCAAAAGAAAAATCAGTTATAAAATGCAAATGTGAGAGGGTAAAGGGGTCGATGACTTTGATCTACCATTCTATTAGCTATTGAAGCATATGCATGCACATATAGGGCTTCCTTAAAATTGAAATTTGAAAATCTTAAATACAAAAACAGCACTTCTAAGTTCTAACATTAATATGTGAGAGATCTCCAAAAGGAACCATTAAACAAACACTGCTTGCATAATGGCCAGTAAAAACACCAACCTGGAAACAGAGATATGTGCCCCCCCCCCCCCACACACACACACAGAGGAAACGAGATGCAACTAATGAAAATAAGGATAAGAAATAAACTAATAAAGGAGCTTACCATGGTTGATTGTAGAAGTCCGAACGCCGCTCTTTTTCAGCATTACGACTAGCTTCCCCTGCAACAAGCTTCAGGTCCCTGCTTTGGGAAGCAATCAAAGCATTGATAAACTCCACAGGAGATTGACTGAAGCCAAGAAAGAATGCTCTCCTCCTACGATGCTCGTGAATCTTCTTTATGGCAGCACAAATTGCTTCATCACAGGCATCAATCTCTTTGTGCTTCTCTGTGTTGGCCAAGAAAGCTGACATTTCCTTCTGTATTGGAAAAGGAACATCAACTAATACATCATAGCAAGCATTTCCAGCTGGGCTGTTCCCAGAAAGCTTGATCTTATGTTCCAAATGTATAGGCTGAGGCGGAGATAAATGCTGTGATATCTTCTGTGAAACCATTGAAAATTTCATCTTCTCTTCCCCAAATACTTTGCGGAGAGGTGGATCACAAGCAAAGAAAGAAGGATCGTTTGGGTTCTGCAGCTTCCTAGCCTTAACATAATGCCATATTGCAGCTATAATCCTTGGACGGGTATCAACCTCAATACCAAGAAGTTCCATTAAAGCCGGTGAGAGCTTAAATTTCTCGGGCATGTAGTTCATCTCTAGTCGTATATTCACTGTAAATTCCTTATCCCCTCTCCTTTTTACTTCAAAGCCCTCGTGAGGTGCAGGCGATCGAGAACTTTCCCATACAATAGTAGAGTTATTAGGATAAAGACTGGGGTCCAAGTTGATAGTAATTCTCTTGAAAAAAGAAGAGAACTTTGGGTATGATGAACTTGATTTCTGGATTACACCGGTAGGGTCTGGATCCACTCCATCTTCCAAGATCCTCCCGATTATCTTAAGTGACCAAGAAGGGGGCTCTGAATTCTGCTTCTCCGGGATAGTTCGGGTCTGATTAGAAAAAGTGTTGAAGATATAAACTCGAAGAGTCTTCTGAATGCAAGGAGGGTTCTTAAGGGATTCCTGGATGTCAATCTTCTTCCTTGCAAGAGCAGCATCAACCCGTGCCTCAAACTCAAGAAGCTGGGTATACAGGGCAGATTCGGGCAAAAGGGCGGCAACTCTGTCCGGTAGCTGCTTGTCTGGAAGTTTCCTCTTCTTTCTACGAGCAGCAGGGGTTAGCTCCATGGTTTTAAATGGCGAGGCCGTGCTGGGAGTGGCAGGAGCCGGAGGCCGTGCCGGAGGTTTCTGGACAACCCGCTTGGCAGTCGCTGTGCCGGGTGTTGAAAGGGAGGGAGACGATGCACCTACAAGCCCAATCCCAGGGGATTGTGTCTGGGTAAGAGACTGTGATTGAGCTTGAAGCTGAGCCTGAAATTGGGCATGAGCTGCCTGAGCTTGAGCTTGAGCACGAGCTTGGGCTTGAGCCTGGGCCAAAGCTTGTGCTTGGGACTGAAGAGGTGACTGGAATTGAAAGTGTGAAACAGGTTGTGTCTGAGATTGTGACTGAGGATGTAGATGGGAAGGGTGGTTCAACGGCATAGATGGAGATACCATCCCGGCACTACCAAAAGGGGACTGAGCCCCAACACTCTTCGCTGGGCTATTGCTGTTCGCGGACATTGTTGTCTTACAGGCCACCCTCTTCGATCTTTCGAGTAGGCATGGCAAGGGCAAAACCCTAGAGCTGCAAAACCTTGAAATATTTTACAGAGAGAAACCGTCGAATATAATCCTCGAGCCTCCCAAAACCCTAATTCCTCGGTCGTGTATAATTATCCACGGATCATTACAGATATCCCAAATGAAACGAAACCTTAAAACAAAAAAAAATCAAGGAGAAAAGATATTGAAGTCAACTGCTCTCCTTTCGATCGATCCTGGGAACCATTGTTACATATGAAACGAGAAGAGGAGAGAAGACAAGGGACATTTACCGAAAACATGAGGGACGATTTCGTTGTTGCCTCCCGAGTCCCGGCGATTGAGCGAAAGGCTTCAACCGAGAACCGCCTACGCGTCGATCTTCACGCAAATAACAGCATATTTGTGGAAATTGGGCAAAACAACCATCAAAATGCCTTTGATGTTGATTAGACCTGTTAATGGGCCGGGCCGGGTTCGGACCGGGCCGGGCTTTCACTCTGTATTAACAGATTTTCTAAGGCTCGAGCCGAGCCTGACCCTCATAAAAAGCTCGAAGCCCGGGCCTGGGCCCAAGCCCGAAATTTAGCCCATATTGTTACTACTGCTGAAGCGGCTGAATAGAGAGAGAGTGAGAGAGAAATTATAAAGAACAAAGTAAAAAAATGTATATATTAAATTATAAATATATATTTCAATGAATATTATATTATTTATATATTTTATATAATATATAAAATATATATTATGTATTTTATAAAATATATAATACTGATTCAGGCCGGGTCGGGCTTTTTTGACAAATCTCAAGCTTGGCCCGTAACACAGTCGGACTTACTGTGTTAGGCCCGATGTCAGGCCCGCGGGCCTAATTACATGACCAACCCCGATCGGGGTGCGGCCCGGGCCAAGCCGGGCCATCGGGCTACCCAGCCCATGAAAAGGTCTAATGTTGATGTGTAGTATAGTAGTTTTTCTCTAGTGTTTGGATTAGAGAAATAGAGTGGGGAATTGGGCAATCCGACCCGACGGTCTAATACAAAACAGATACATTTATGGTTGTGTTTGGCACCGTAGGCGTACCAAATTAATTATAATTATAATTACTAATAAAAAGTAAAAAAAAAATTATTGAAAGTAATAAAATAAATCATTTGTATTCCATATAAATATTATAAAAATTAATTAAAATAATAAAACTAATAATGACTCAATTAAAAACAATGTTTTGAAAAGTTAAAGACTAAAGCAAGGCGATTGGGTCTCCAAGAAGAGACCAGATCTGCTCCTCACACCTGACGTCTCACACACATCATATCATGCATTTGGAACATCTCCTATACTTATTAATTATTATTCACATAAAATATTCCCAATATAAGATGAATGTGCTTGTGAGACGCCCATTTGTAAGAAGAGATCCCGTTCCGAGGTGAGGAATTGAAGTTTCATAAACAACAAAAACAATAAAGCAAACAATTAAGTTTCATATAATTATTTATGGCTTAGCTTGTATATTAATGGTCTAATCACCAATGACCAATAATTCATTAAATCTTATCAGCATTGTTTTCCTAAAATCTAAGCACTCTAAAAACAATACTCCAATTAAAAACTGATTAGTAACTAATATGTAAGAATATTTATTTAAAATATTTCACAATACAAATTTAAACTATAAAATAGAAGTTAAAAAAAATAAGAGATAAAATGAATGCACCTTAACAAGCACACAAACAAAGTTCGAGGTATTATTTAGGAATTTTCCCAATTTCAAAATTACCCATAAAAATCTTGACATGGGATTTTAAATCAATGGCTTTGACCACTTTTTTTTTGAAGTGTCTGCATTACACTGTTAAACATCAAGAGGCTAAAGCATGCATCTAAATTCAATTTGAAATTCAACCGGATTTAAAAACCTCGGATTCGAATTCAATCCTAACGGACTCAGATTGGATTAAGATTTGATCCAACTCCACTTTAGTTTTTCTAAGTACAAAAAAAAATAAAAATTTAATTACTTGTTAACTTTTATACATAATAAGTTAATGTAAATATACATATTGAATTCATTATATATAGATTCGTATACAATATAATATATAAAAAATATACTTTTTATAATTTTAAACATAATTATATCAAATATATATATTCAAATTAATAAATATTATAACATAATTGAATTTGGATGTTAGTTTGATCGAATGGAGTCAAATCCGAATATGATTTGATTATTAATTGGAAATAGATTCTGATCATAATACATAAATGCATCATTGGAATCCGAGATAATTGGATTTGGTCTCAAACTTTGTGGGGTATCATTGATAGGCCTACTAAAGGCCAAAAGCGTACACCTTGAGCAACTTAAGGTGTGTGCCCTATTGACCATGGCTGAGGCTACCAAGGCCAAGCGTTTTTGTACCGTCTTGCCTTGAGACGTATGCCCCTAGCCTCGTTTCAATCACCTTTTAAAACCATGATTAGAAATTTCATAAAATTTTTTGTACTTAGGAGAATCATTTATAACTTGGCCTAACCCAATTAGACCTACAATTTTTTTAGCTTAAGTAATTATTTTCTTCTTTGTTAGGTCTAGTTCAGCTTACACCAAGCCCACACATAATATGGGCAATAGGGTTATAAATGGATTAGATTCAGAGCGGATCCAACTGCATCTACATTCGATTATGAAATCTTCGAATCAACATACACATCCAATTATTAAGATATTGTATCAAATAAGGATTTAATCTGCAACCATCTTATTGTGTTTAAAATGACCAAAAATTTTAAAAAGTTAAAAAAAGTAATTATTTTTAAAGTATATATGTATAGTAAATAAATATAAATTATTAAATTTATTGATTATAAAGTTTATATAATTATACATAATATCTATATGAAAACTGATGAAGGGAAATTTGGCCCGACCTCGCGATCGCCCGACACGTGGCAAAGGAAAGCAGCTCGGGACGGTGGAGCACCCAAAGCGAACATCGGAAGCAAGTCCAAACTCACTACCGAGCCCGAACTCCAGACCGTTGTACTTAGTCCGAGCTCCTTGTTAAGAGCGAGCTCCCTGTCGAAGGTCCGAGCTCCCTAAATCCAAACTCCCTACTAGGAGCCCGAGCTCCCTGACTAAGAGCGAGCTCCCTGTCAGGTCCGAGCTCCCTAAAACTTGAGCTCCCCAAGTCTGAGCTCGGTACTAGGAGCCCGAGCTCCCTGTTAAGGGTCCAAGCTCCCCAAGTAAGAACCCGAGCTCCCTAAAAACCGAGCTCCCTATTAAGAACAAACTCCCTACTGGGAGTCCGAGCTCGCTATTAAGAGCGAGCTCCCTACTGAGAACCCAAGCTCCCTGCAAGGAGCACGAACTATACTGGGCCCCAAGCCTCACA